GATTATTTAGAAAAGTATTCAGAATTTTTTACTTTTGACCCCCCAAAGTACCAACTAGATTCACTTTCTGATCGAACGAGGCACTGAAGTCAAAAATCGAAACATTTTTACTGCCCCAAAACGTGATGACAGACACAAAAAAAAATAAAAAATAAAAACACACATCATGGTAAAATCAATACATTCATAGCTCCGCTCAGAATCTAAAATGTAATTCAATTTTAAGCTTATGTATATAATTGTTTATAAACAGGTCATACTTGCTTTATGGCTTGTATCCATGACTATATTTGGCCCAGTTCTATGGGTTCGTCAAACAGAATCTGTGGAGTTGGGAGATGATCCAATATTAATCGATGCTGTTCATAGATATGGCTTGGCTTGGTGTATAGAGGACTGGGGAAACCCTCATGCAAAATCTACGTTATCTAAACACGTTTATGGTACATTTTATATTATAACACTTATTTCTAGATCGTAATAGCTAACTACATCAGAAACATAATTACAAAAATAATTTATAAAATTTAATTTTAATACTTCTATGCACTACTATCATTATTTTTACATAGTACCATTCATAGTATACAGAATTATGCAGAACATTGAAAAAGTAAAACGTAAAACAATTTACAGGTATTCTATGTTTTGTGCTGGTGTATGCTACACCTGGATTTCTGGTGACTGGAGCTTACACATTGATGGGTCGAAGACTATGGGCAGTACGACCACCGTTTGATGACCAGCAGGGCATGATAAGTGTTCAACAGGTTAATAAATATATTATAATATATTTTCGTAAATATATCAATTGGAATGTAAATGAGTGGTATATWTTTTTTTGTTTTCATGGCAGTTCTAATTTTATTTTGTTGTTATCCGTTTTGTGACCTTTCGTTTTGAGATTTTAATGGTCTACGAGTTTTGGTGTATAATGTGTATAATATTATGTTTGATATTTTCGCGTCTTAATGCCGAACTATGTATTTTAGTACTCAAAACGCATTATAAACATTATGAATTCCGAGAAAATGCCGTTCGCATCTTTAACCGCAGCCATCTCGGCAAATGTCTGATATTTTGTTTCACCCTTAATTCAGAGTATATTAATACAAATATATATATTTGTTAAAAGAGACTTCGCTGTATAATTATGATATCTATAAATAGGKTTTGTACATATTTATGAAACACTCCTATATATACGCCTATTTAAGACTTAGTGCCAAACATGGAATATATAACATCATAAATATAATTTATATTTTATACTATTTGGCAAAGTCAATTGTCTTTAATAATAAATTACCTGGTTTA